TGGCGGAGTCCGGTGGCTGGGACTCGCGGTGGGCCAGGCATTTCTGAGCAGAGGATGGGAGGCGAGGGACCCAGGGGTAAATGGCCCAGTAGGAGTCCCTTGAGGGGAGCCTCAGAGGGTAGCTCTCCGGTTCCCGACCTCCGCCTTCCTCCCCTCTCTGTCTCCCAAGGGTCTTTCCTATGTTGGCATCTGACCTTGAGGCCCTCCGGTAGGTGCCACCAGCAGGGGACACCTTTTCTTCTGTGGCCCTGGTTTCAGCCCCACTTTCCTGACATGCCTAAAAAAAGAGGAACACAGGGCCCCCCTCTGCCTGGACTCTCCTGACTCCAGACCAAGCTGCAGCCCCTTCCATAAGTGGGGACACCCATCCCAGGGTAACGGGTAATAGAAGGTAAGGAGGGGCTGTGGACTGGTTAAATTTGGTGATATTTTAATATTCTCTTCCTGGAATCCTCCTCCTCTTCCCACTCTGCACAGCTGTCCAGGCCCTGGTGGCCCCTGGTACAGAGCTGGGAGGCCTCGGGGGAGGGGAGAGAGCTGTCACCCTTGGGTGACAAACAAAAGCCCTTCTTTTGCTACAGCTGGTCGGGTGGGGGGTACTTGGCAGAAGAGGCTCTTCAGGGAGGGGCACGTGTGCCTCTGGGGACAGATTCACCTTCAGCCCCAAGACCCCAGACTTCCACAGGAACCCCCACTCCCCAAAGACTCCAGCCAGTCCCCCCGCCTCCACGCCCACAGAGGGCTCAGCTCACCCTCGAGTGGCACAGGAATCCCAGGAAGACGATGGCTGCTGCTGGCAGCAGCACCAGCAGGAACACGGCTGCGGGCAGCAGCAGGTGGAGCAGGAGCCCCGCCAGGGCCCGGCCAGGCAGCGACAGGGTCCCGAGGCCTTGGGCGGCCAGGCCTTCCCACCGTGGGGACCTCAGGGCCGCGGCCTGGCAGTCAGGAGGCCTTCGGGGCAGCATGAGTGCTGTGTCTGAAGTGCCTTCTCCCTCATCCTCCTCCATCTCCCTCTCCTGCCCACTCATGTTCTCTTGGGCAGTGGACCTGGTGGGCCCACAGCGGTGGTCACGTTGCAGGAATGAGCCCCTCCCCCTGTTTCAGATTAGCAGAATTTTAACCATAGGTCCCCAGGTCACATCTCTACCCAGAACCCAGCATCCGGATGGAGGACCCAGCTGGAGGGCAGGACCCTGGCCCAGGGGTCCACCCCTGACCATCAGTCTCCAAGGCCACACCTGAGCCTCCGGTTCCTCCACTGCCAGACTGACCCCGTCTCTGCCAGGTTACTGCAGCTCTGGCCCTGGTCAGTCTCCCCAGCCAGCTCCTGCATGCTCTGGTCAGAGCTTGCACAGCTGTCCCTACAGCTCAGCACTGGGGCCCTCCTCCCTCCTGGTCCCCTCCTCCCTCCTGGTCCCGCCCTCTGCCCACTTCCAGCTCCTGCACACAACGCCTCATTTCACTAGTTGTAACTCTAGCAACTGCCCCATCAGTAGCTGCCATGTAGAGGTCAACCCCATCTCCCAGCCCTGCCCCTGCTGGTCCCTCATCCCCAAACCTGGCCCCTCACAGCCTCAGAGAAGCTGCCCCAGAAGATGCTGGGTGCCCCCACCATACCTGTCGAGAGGGCCCGTGGGCAATGGATAGGAAATGCTTGGTGTGGGACTCAGCACACAGTAGGTGCCAATAACAGCTTCATCCTGCCAGCCAGAATCCTACCAGCTTCATCCTACCAGCCACCAAACTTGGTGCCAGAATCCCATCCATCCTGAAAACAGGGGGAGCACATAATTCTGTTACTTCAAGTAAAGGAGGTATCAGCTTTCCTAGCCCGTCCGAAAACCCCAAATAATTTCTTCCAATGTGACTAAAATACTCTTAGCACCTAATGGTCTCCCAGGGTTTTTGGGCATAACATACAGTATTTTAAACACCACTTACATAACCGGTTGACAAACTACTCAAGAGGTTGTCTGTGAGCTGAGTGGAGGTGGCTGGACAGCACCATGTGCGAACGTTTCCCCCCTCCTTAGCCCTTCCAACTCTGCTTCTAACATTTTCCAGGCCCTTCGAGCTCACCTCGGCTCTCTGCGGGCACCCCGACAGCCTGGCACGTGTCCACAGAGGTCATCCGCACAAGCGGCCGTGCCCGGGCCGTGACAGGTGTGGCTGCAGCAGGGAAGCAGCTCCTAAGCACTGGGTGCCCCCCTCCCACCCCCGTCCTTGTCATGTGGTCACCCAGGCTTGCTCCTTTCAGCATCCTCCTGCGTCACCTTGTGGGACAGGGTATGGGGCCTACAACCTTGGTCCCCTTATTTTGGCTGGTGGCTCAGGTAGTAAACTGTCCGAACCCACCCAGAGCACCTTGCTTCTTTACGGGCCGAATCCGCCAGCCTGTGTGACATGCCTGATTAACGTCAGGTAGACAGGTATTTTTGTGCAGTGACAAGTGCTAGGAAGAAAATGCAACAGAGGATGAGGCTGCTTCAGATCAGTGGTCAGGCTCGAGGGCCCCTCTGCAGAGGGGATGTCTGAGCTGAGTGACTGAGGCTTACAGGGTGGGGTCCATGTGGCTTGAGGGTGGGATGGGGCCCTTCAGGCCCTTGCCTGGAGACCCAGCCTTTGGGCCTGACTCCTGGAAGGGCCACCCCTCTCTGGAGCGTGTACAGGGCAGGGCCTTCAGGACACCTTCTCTCTGGGAGCCAGGAAGGTGCTGGGGCAGGAGCAACTGACCCCCGAGCTGTGCTGCCCCCTGGTGGACAGTCACCAGAAGCAGCTGGAGGGGCGTGCCCTCAGCAACCTGCCGCACTTTCTCCTGTGTGGGCTCTGGACTAGCGGCCTTACCCAGGGACTGGGGATGGGAAGGCACCTTCAGGGCTAGCCTCCCACCCTGGCCCTCTGTGCCCCAGGGCCCCAGAATCCAAGCAGCCAGTCCCGAAGGCCTTACTCAGGCCTCTGCTGTAGCCCCACTCTTCCACCTTTCAGACTTGGCTCCTCTCCTAAACAACCCCCCTTTGCCTGGCTCTCTTCTTCCGTTGAGGGTCTGCCCCTTCACAGCCCCTGCTGACTCGCTCAGCCTACTCTCAAGAGGCTTCCTACTCCCACAACTTACCCGGCCACCTGCCGGGTGTCCCGGGTTGATGTTCCTTCCTCTTCCTCGTGGAGCATCTTCATAGGGGGAAGGGCCCTACCTCACCCTGTCCACTGCTCCAGCTGGAGTCAGGAGAGAGGCCAAGCTTCAGCACCGAGGGGGGTCTTAGCCAGCTGGGACAGGAGTGGGGGTGAGGGGCAGGGCCTGAGGGAGGGACCCACGGGAAGGTATGTGGGTGCCTCCTGGGGTGGGCAAGTCATGGCCCATCATAGACTGAGCTTCTTGGAGGAGCTGTGGTCCATGGGCAAGTCCCTGCCTGCCTGGCCTTTGTCTCCCTGGAGGGAGGCCAAGCCAGAGGCCCTGGAAGTTGGCAGGGGCTGAAGGGTGCTGAGACAGGGGTTGGCAGGCAGGGCCTCCCCTTAAGTTCTGGGTAAACAGTGTGGGGAGGTGGCCCTTAGCCTGGCCCGGGAGGCAGCTCTGCACCACCCCCTCCCAAACAGCTGCAGCTCCAGCCTCCCAGCACGCTGGGAGCAGACACCCCCACCTCTGCACCTGCGGAAGGAGTTTCACGAGAGGGCCACCAGGCTGTGGCTGGGCCAGGACAGCATGGAGAAGACCCCCAGCTGGAGGACAGAGGCCCTGGGTGGACTCTCTTCAGAGGTATCTGAGATCCAAGGCCCTCAGAAGGCTAAGTGGTGGCCTGGTTCCCCTGGGGAGATGAGGGGTCCATGCTGGCCTGGAAACAGTGGGCTGGGGCTGGGCTGGGGCCGGCTTGGG